TTTCCCTACCTAACCATTAAGCTAACCCTAGTGATGTATAGTTATTCAATTAAATTATCATTATTCTTCATTTATTTATTATGTATTTTGAAAAGGAATAAGTATATTTAATAGTCAATGCTTTCAGTGATAATAGTGAGTGTTGTATTTTATTATTATTAGTGTTCATGTTCGACAAACGTTACTTCAACGTTCTGGAAGTGAACAAGACAAGCTACGAGAAGTGCGAAGAGAGGGATTTCATGAAGAACGTGACGCGCGGTGGCCGCGACGTGGTGCAGTTGACAGAGGCAAAGACCTACTACTTCCTCTCCGCCGGAGGATACTGTTTTCACGGCATGAAGGTTGCTGTCAACGTCCAACAACACCAGCAACCCGCCGAACCCTCTCCGGCTCCGGCTCCGGCTCCGTCGTCTGCGGCCGTGTCTCCTGCTTTTTGGCCCTCCATCGTCACCGGTGTTTGGATCATGGTTGCTCATGTCAAGCTGGTTTTGATGGGCTAGAGTATATGAATGAGTGCCTTGTTATTGCCTTTGAAAGATGAAAACCATAAAATGGCTTTGTAATTGCTTACTTTCTGCATGCATGTTAATTACTTCAACTAGCCCATGCTAGCTAGATGCTTCATTAACTTGGTTGTGGTAAATGATAATTTTACTTGCACATTATATTAATCACTATTATTATAACCTTAATTACTTTTTTACTTTTTTAAAATTTGAGGAATATATTATTTTGTACTTTAAAATTTAAAATGTGCGTGGTTTTAGACTATAAATTATAAAAATATTATTTTGACTCCTTAAATTTAATTTTTTTTCTTTATAATTACAGTAATTTCAAAAAAATATTATTTTAATTTATATATATCAATCTCTTAAATTTTAACTAAGCAATTTTAGTTTTTAAAATATTACAATTGTATAGTTTTTGTCTCTCAAATGTTTTAATTATACAAAATTTTGCTTATTGAAATTATATATATTAGTAATTTTAGTAATAATAAATTTATATCATTTAATATATGTAATTTAAATAGGTAAAAAGATTATATAATTGTAATACTAAACAGACTAAAATTGTATAATTCCAATATTTGAGAGACTAAATTTGCGTGAGAACAAAATTATACAATTATGATACTATAGGTGACTAAAATTATTTAATTAAAATATTAAAAATTACACAATTATAATATATTTGAGGAATTGAAAATGTAATTAAACCTTGTTTTACTTTTCGTTTCAATTTTTTATTTAATGTAATAAAGAATTTATAAATTATTTTCAAAAGTTTAATTATGAAATAATGTTTGATATATTTCACAATTAAAATTTTTGGAAGAGTATATTTAAAAACCTTTCCAAAATTTTAATTTGTTAAACATTGTTTTTTTTTCTCAGAATCTTAATTTAGCATATTAAACATGTTTTTGAAAAATTAATTTCTAAACATGATTTATAAATTAATTTATAAAAGTGAAGTTTATAAACATAAAATAATGAGTGAGATCTCACTAAAGCCCAGTTAGATTTTATGATGAAGATTTATCATCTCTATTCATAAATATTTGAACGTTATTAGAAAAATATTTAAAAATGATGCAATTAGAAAAGAAAAAGAAAAGGCAACTATGTTACGTTAAAGTTTCATGATTTATACACCTTATATATATATATATATATATATATATAGAAAAGGGTTTGAACGACACCGGTGTAATTTTTACTAAGTGTTACACCGCTCAATAACTTTATATTAAATGTGAATTTTGTAAATCCAACCGTTAGATTAAGTGTTACACCGCTCAATAACTTTATATTAAATGTGAATTTTGTAATCCAACCGTTAGATTAAAAATTTATATCACTTAAATCATATATACAAAATTTTATATTAATCCAAGATAATTCGATACTTCATTCTTATAAAATAAAGTTGACATAATATATTCATTTCAAAATATACTAAAATATGAACACTTTGATCTCCTTTAAATTATTGTTTAATTTTAACAAAATTTGATTTACACATATAAAGTGATATGAATTTTCAATCTAACGATTGAATTTATAAAATTCACAATTAATATAAAGTTATTGAGTGGTGTAACACTTCATAAAAGTTATACCAGTGTCGTTTGAACCCTCCTCATATATATAAGTACACCTTTTTTTTTAAAAAAAATAATTAAATTTTTAAAATATCTTTAATTTTTATATTTTTTAATTTTACACCCCAACATTTTTTTCACACACTTCCTTTCTTCATATTTTTAGTTCTCACATGCATTCCCTTATCTTTTTTCCACCTCCACTTCCACCTATTTTGATAGATAGTTTTAATTTTTTCAATTTTATATTACTCTCTCCCCCTTCCTCTTTTAGTTTTTTTACTACTATCTTCTCCCTCCCGGTTTTATTTTTTTTCACACGCCAAGGATGTAGAACTAGTTTTCGACAACATTATAGATGTGTGTGACTTTCTCAACAGCATCAAAAGTGTCAAGTCAAATGTGCATTTTTTTTTTCTTTGAGTACTTCTCCAATTTACACATCTAGAAAACACAACGTCAAATAATTTTAGTGTTTCAGAAAGTACTTTTCGAAATAGTAATATTAATATTACTGAAATCATGTTTTGTAATTGAGTCTTTTAACATACTTTCAAAAAATACTTTTCGAAATATTAAATTTATTGTTCTAGAAAGAACTTTTCGAAATTATGTAAAATAACATACTGTCGAAAAGTAATTTCTGGAATATTAAAGTTATTGTGTTTAGAGTGATGAAAAGGAGAGAAGTGTTGAAAAAAAAATGTATTTAGTTTAGTAAAAACTGTTAAGGAAATCATACATAATTACAATGTTGTTATGTATTAATTTTATGGTCTGAGTGCATGTGAAAAAGTGAAAGAGGTGAGGAAAGAAGAGAGTAATGCAAAAACTAATAAAAACTAAAATTACTTATTGAGATAAGTGAAAAATTAGAGAAAAATAAAATAATGCATGTAAAAACTAAAAGAGAGAAAGAAAGACATGTGTGAAAAAAAAATAAATTAAAATTTGAAGGTGTAAAATTAAAAATAAAAAATAAAAAAATTATTAATATTTTAGAAATCTCTTTTTTTTTTTTAAAAAAAAATAATAAATAAAGATATACTTATATAAAAATATAAAAAATAAAAATAAAAAAGAGGTGTATATATAGCTACATTAAATTTTAAGCCCAATGGTGGAGCCCGGCCCAAAATACGAATAACAGTGACTTTTGGTGGGAGAGAGATAAGATATGTTAGCGTAAACTAGAGAAGAGAAGAGACACACAGTACATAACAATGGCTTCGATTCAGTGTTCTTCTCTTTGGCTTCCTTCACTTCCCAACAACACCAACACCATTCGCTTCCTTTCAGTTAACCCTAATTCCGTTCCCTTCTCTTCTTCCCTCACCAGACTCAGAGCCTCATCATCTTCCTCCCAAACTCTTGAAGAAGCCGCTATGAGCATCGACAACCTGCGACGTTTCATCAACCTTAATTCCGGAAAGTGGAACGGTTCTTTCTATGTAACATTTCAAACCTCTTTTTTTTACGGACAAACAAAACTTAGTTATACTTATTTGTTAGTTGATTGTTTCTAGTGCTATTTTCCTATCCCTATTTGACATGTAATGCAAGTTAACTTGGTTGATTTTTACACTAACTATCTTAACAGTGATAACTATTACGATAAATTGACGTGTATGTTAAGTTTGCTAATTTTTACATTAAGTATCGTAAAATTCATATCTATAATCATTTCTGATTAGTTGGTAGTGTTAACTTATTGCGCTAATAATCGGTACAAATTAAACTCTTAAATATTAGAGTAAATAGTTCATGTGAATGATGATAATGTAGAGGTTGTTTACCAGTGTTGTCTGATCATTATTGCCACGTATGTTAAGTTTGTTAATTTTCATAATAATTATCGTAAAATTTGTAGTTATCATGATTTATGATTATTTGACTGTGTAATTTTATTTTATTTTTTATATTGATAGCGTATACAAATTAAATTGTAAAGATTGTTATAGTTGAAATAAATTTCAATAGGAAAAGTACTTAAATAACCACGCCTAAGTTTTCGATAACATTGTTTTCCTCTTTGTTTTGCAGCAATTCGATTCATGTGGGAATATGTTGCAACAACTGAATACCAAGCTTTCTGCTAGCTCTTATGGGGAAGATGAGCTCATGAGTCTCATTCAAACGTAACCAACCTTTCTCTCACTCTTAGCAACATGCGTCTTTTCTTTTCTTTTGAAAAAATCAAGGGAAAACAGTGCAACACAATTATAAATCTTGAGGAATTGTAAACAATGCGCATGGATTGTTTTTACTTTTATTTTCAGTTGATATAGAAAAAAATTGTGATAAAAGGTCTTCTCTCCCTTTTATTTTTTCAGAATTTGCAAAAACAAAATATTGTTTTCACCCCCCTCCCCCCTCTATTTTTATAAATGTTGGAAAACATGAGAAAAGTTTAAAATAAATGACATTTTTTTAATGTTTAGTAAATGCATATCAATTAAAATAAACCTAATGCATCTGAAATTTTGTCAGTTCCTTAAATATATAACCTTTATGATGTGATCCTTTAAAAGGAGAATGGATTGAATCTATTAAGCTCTAACCCCATTATATTAAATCATTTGAATCTGAGTGATATTTGTTCATCATCAGCTTGCTTAAAAGGTTTAAAGACATCTTATGTTGCTTACTACTGTAGTTTTTTTTTTTTTTTCAAATTTTAAATTGTATAGCTGTTGCACCTTTCAGGCTGTATATTAAACAACCATCATCAAGTACTGCAGTTAATAGAGATGAGAATGATGCAGAATGGGCAGAGTATAAGATTAAAGAAACCAATATGTTTACTGTCGACAAATATCAACAAGTGAGATTTTCTTTTTATGCTGGAACATTGAACTGAAGTGTAAACTATCATTTAATTTTTTTAGAACCTTTGGGTTCTTTCTTTGTAATCCCATTGCTTCTTTACAATATTTATCACAATTAGTTTGCAGATAGGCTTTTTCCCATCTGAGAGAGCATTTGCGCTGAGGTACCAAACAGCTGGCATGTTGGAAACGGTACTAAGGCAAGGTGTTCTTGGAGAAGATGACACCGGTGAAGAATCACCTAGGTAAAAATGCTGTCCTATAAACATTTATCATGCATTAGTGAATGAAATCAGGGCTGCATTTGTTGGAGATGGTAATAGAATGTGGCTAACATGTTTGTATTGCCATGTTGTAGAGATACTTGCTAATTACATGTCAGATCATTTTGGCAACATGCCTAATTGAAGTGTTAATCTGAGGCATGTGGTAGGCTAGACCTTTGGTTCTACTCTTAGTAACGGAAGACTAGGAAGATAACTTTGCAAAAGCCAGTTTAAAAAGAGAAAGAAATTATTAAACATCAAAATTGAAATGTTAGTCTGCAGTTACTGCTCTTGATGATAGTAATTTTCAACTTGATGTGAAGTAACATGTGTAAGGGTTGAAAAATAATTTACAATATGGATACATGTGAGTAATTCAAGCTGGAAAAAGGTAAAGATAAAAACTATATTAGTGATCATAAAA